ACCGGGGCAAGAAATTCTCACCCCCAGAATCGTGTGTCCGTGTCGTCACGATGGTGCAGATTGGGAAGATTGTCGAATTGTCATCCAATGCTTCGGATTGGGCAATGGTCGTATGCCGCGTGTGCACCAATATGCCCCTGTTCGTCTGGGCACACAGACAGACACGAACAAGCGGGCCAAACCACCACGACCGAAAGAGCCTGGCACGCAACCGTACCACGCGGGGGATAGGAAACGTAGCGCATTGCGTGCCCGGTCGGTGCGTCTGTCTATCGTTCCCCTGAATCCGATATACCGACGTAAATTATGTGGTCCCGACTGTCCATTCGCTTCAGTCAGGAAATCCTTCTCGCCGCGCGCTTTCGACCGGAATACATTACGTGAATTTTGGTGTAAACGATTAATCCAAAGAATGGTGAGTTTTATACTATGTCAATGTCTAGCTGGAATCAGTGACAGTCTGATAGAATAATTCACATCAGGTGTTTTATTCTATGGGCTTTATCCATGTATTTCAGGATTGTTGAAATCAGTTCATTGATGAACGGGTAACTGTTTCGATCACCGACTATGGGATTCAAAAGTGGACGCGTTTTATTTCAGTTTTATTTCTCTGTGGCAGTGAATAAATACTTCTAAACCTGCGTAATTGTTTACTGCCCATACTTCGGGACCTCTGTCTGAACTTTCAATGTCCAAAACTTGTTGTTGTATATGTTCTTTTTTCTGATGAATAGGTTGTGAATTTTAAAGCTAAGTGAGCAATGTGAAAATTACCCAGTAGTAGATTACAGAATTTGTTCTACAATATTTTATTTTCTGATAGGTTGCCAGACTGTGTGCCAGTTTCAGTGTAAACTAGAATGCAATGTATGTTTGTATATCCCGATTTGTTCATGGCAAAGGTACAAGTGTGTTTGCCAATTTGGGGAAGAGAAACTCACATCTCGCAATTTGGTCCGAGTTGATGTGATAATCTGTGTTGTGCAGGAGGACACTACTGGGGTTACTTATGTGGTATAGATCAACCCAGGGTGAAATTCAAAGCTTGCTGTCTGAGGTATAGTTCGGCTACACCCTCTGGTCTAGCGATAATGAACTGAATGCTATTCACAGATTTTCATTGTCTTCTTTTATCAATTAACACGGTGTATCTACCAAATCGGTTTACTGCAATCAATAAGATGCTACAGATTGTGTAATTACATCGAGAGAGAAATTATTTGAACTAAATTTTGCGTAATCAATGAGAAGAAAAACACAATAAACGTATCTTACCACTTCAAAATGGGGTCAGAACTGTGGATCATGCTGAAAAACACGTATACACATATGTATACGGATCTGTCTAGTATGAAATTTGGAATCTACTCATTTCCTTCTGTCCAACATGACCCACGTTGAGTTCACAACTTCCTCTTCGTTTTACGTCCGACGGATATAGAGGTTTTGTGCACTATATTGTGTAACAGTTTCATGTTTTAGCCTGTACAACTGATAAGCTTATTTCCTCCTTTTCCAGGCCTTCAAAATTGACGACTTCACCATCCAAGAAGACCAAGTGAAAAGTGAGTATATTGGTTTTATCTACGGTTCCGGAGGGTTTGGAAATACGTTAACTGAGCTGATTTGAGCGGTGTACCACTTAAGTTTGATCTAACCACGTGCCATTTCTTATATATGTCTCTCCCACTTTCTTCATCGGTGGTTACTTAACAGCACTGTTGTTGGCGAAACACACCAAATCATGTTCAGCTTTCTTTGAAACAGAGAACATCTGAACAAATCACATCGAGCGATAGGCGACAAAAATAGGTTTTGGACTAGGGAAAAATATAGGAGCAAGTACCCTTCCGGGCCGACTCTACTATTATTGTTCGGCTACATACTCTCACTAATACAAATACCAAATGGATGAATATATTGATTCTTTCTTATCCCAAAAGGCGATAACAAACATCATCATGTGAAAGTTTGATCAGGACAATGATAACTCCATAAACATTAAAAACACTCGATTAGGTTATCCGGGTGACACGATGCCGTTCATTTTCGCATACCATACTCTTCGGCCCAACTGGGTACAAACAAGTAAACCGATATGCGCACACACACACAGCGACGCACTCGCGACCGCGTAATTGATTATGGTGCTACTGTTGACCACTAAACAGTTTCATACCCAACAACGCACGCATTTGCAGTAACCGAGGCTGAGGTTTGCTGTAATGGGCCCACATTCCAGTTCGGGTGTGTGCTGTCGCGTGCGTGCGTGTGCGTGTGTGTGTGTGTGCACGCGCGCGCGCGCGTCCCTGTAAACGCGTGGGTGGATAAAAGGGATCAGGGTAGCAGTACAACTGAAGGTGTTGAATATATGTGATATTGATCCGCATCCAGACCCTTTCGCCATTCTCTCTGAAAACAGATGTTTTGAAAACCGTATGGTCCGTCCCAAACGGCTGCACTATTGGCGCCATATGATTTTCATACACAGTGACTCAAATATCGAAAATCCCGTGTTACGGTTTTGTGCTTACCAAAAGTCAGCCGTGAACAATTTTGAGGGAGTTAGCATATTTCATTTAGTTTTAAATATCGCGATCATTTGCTGATTTAGAAGCTCAAGTATCATCTAAGTAAAACGAGACAGTGTAAAGTTCAGTTCAGTAGGTACAACCATTAACCATGCACTTTCATGCGCCGGTTTTGGTTGCTGCCTTTTGGCTGCTCATTCGGATGAAGAATGAGAGAAGACAGGAACGTTGAAGGTAGAGTCGAACAGAAAATGGAGAAGTTCAGTGGTCTAAGTTTGCGAAGCAATTAAGAAGATGCACTAACGCCAATGTTTATGACACCCAGCCATATCAATCAGTGTCTCTGACCATCGGTTGCGATCATCCCGAGGTCCCCAGCCAGGGAGCCTAACAGGACCTACGTGACCCAGACTCCTGGTCAAGGTTTTCATACCCTCGTGCGAGATCTCAGCCTGGCCACCCTTGACTTTCTTGCACCCACTACTTGTCTCGGCGAACATCGCTCGCCGTGGTAACCTATCTAGTGACATGCGTAACACATGCCCCAACCAACGTAATCTATTGAGGTCGACCACTTGCTCCAGTGGGCGACCGCGGATACCCAAAACACTGCGCCTAACCTCAGCATTGTTCGTCCGGCTGCCGCACCAGATTCGTGCATCCTGAACGACCGCGCATGAACGTTCATGAGTTATACCAGTCCAAGCTCTACATGGAGAAATTGTATCTAGCGCAGCTGACTGTGGCAGGTCCCAAGACAAACATCATCCTCATAAAAAGCAACGAGCATGGCTTTGCGGTCTTCTGGGGATCATTCCTTTAGTGTCGACACGTAAGTAGAGGAAGTTGTTAAGTGCACCGCTTCTCGAATAACTGCAACGTGTGTGCATTTGCACATTGACTTGAATTGACTTTAGATAGGAACTCATAGAGATTGCCATATTAAGTATCAACCTCTTGTCTATGTTTACAGGGCTGTACGGATGCATACAGACAGAATATTATATTGACGATTGTACTCGACAAACATTGTTAGTCAGTTTTGGTAAAAAGCGATGTGCTAAGTAATTTTGAAAACAATGCACATTCAACCAAGTAGTCACTTAATCGGACCACAGTGTGATTGATTTGGAAGTTCAAATAAACATTGATGTCTTTTCTGATATTTATCTTAAGATTCCCAATCATTTTTACTACTTACATGAATGACACTACTAACAATACGAGTATTGATAACAACCTAGTCCCTTGCCCGTTTCTGTTTAAATTCCTAATATGCACACCAATCACTATACGGTATCATAACTATCTCTTGCTTGCTTTTGATAGCTGCCAAGGACGTTTTCAAACGGTATGACAAACGAGGTCAGGACAAGATCAGCACCACCGATCTGGGTCCAGCTTTTCGAGCGCTTAATTTGAAAGTCAAACCGGATACGTTGAAAGAATGGGCCGATCAGGTTGATGATGACGGTGAGTCAAATGCTTGATGACTCGTTTCCGGTAGAAATGAAGTATTAGAATGACCAAAGGTTTTACTGGCGGACATACAGTACTGGCCGATTGTGCTGCACTAAAATGTTTTCTTTATGATCAATGGCGTTTCGCTATACTTATCATCTATATTACTGCTTTAGGCATGGACAATTTATATCTTGTCTACTTCGATCTACGTAGTTTCTAGTTTGCATAAGTGTCAATTAAACATGCCTGACCTTGAGTGCCAAGATTAAATGATCTAAACATGAAAACCACAAACTTTACATCTTGCTTATTATCAATGTTAATTTGTTGTTAATAAAAACTGTTTCTCTTTAGTCACCTCTTAACTCATCATGATCTAGGTCAATCACTACTGACGAAAGGAGAGTATCCACTACATTCTGAACCATTCCATCTGCTGAATATAAACGAATCAGAAAAATCACGTCTATAAAGACTCAGCAAGGCTTGTTTATTATTATTTGGAAAAACAATTTACTTCAGTATAAATGCTGTTGCTTATATGAACCGACAAGTGTTTCACAGGGACCCGTTGCTTCAGTTTCGATAAGACCTGTACATTTATCAAAGTTATCTGAGGGGTTTTTTAAGTCGAAGGTTGAAAATTCTCTATCGTTCGTTTTTATAAATTGTACATTCCGCTCCTTGTGGAACTCAGTCAAACGAAGAAAGTCCCACACCAACAAATAATACACTTGCGGTCAAGGCTAGTTTGAAGACATTAAGGATGAAAAAGTGGCTCGTGCTATTCGTCTTTTCCACCAGATGGCTCCTTCTCTTCGACCTACGTGGGACGACCAGACACAAGCTCACCCCGAGCAGAGACCTACTCTCAACTGTTTGGTCATAAGATCCCCAAACCTAGGTCTATGATTTTCTGATAAATTATGCAAACAGTGTATGCTTTTGACGAATTAGGACAGATAAGTAACAAACAACCTGAAGTCTTAACTAATGGAAAAAGCCTATTTCCTAAACAGAGGGGACTGTTCATGTAAAACTTGTGGTGAAGAGTTGCATCATACAACTCGTGAACGTCGCTTCCCGTGTGTCTGCTATTTCTCTCACCTGGTTAACCAAATGAGTGAATTGTGTTTGTCGACGCATCTGCAAAATTGAGCTTCTGCAAATCAAACTGTCAGCTATTTTTTAACTATCGTGTTAGAGGTGAAAACAAGGCGTTTAGTGCCTGAGTCGCGAAAATCATTCCACGTGGCAGGAGTATGCAACTGTTCAAACGCCAAATTTCTTTGAGATAAATAACTCCGATATTATCATTCGAACTAAGACATGGTGTATCAATAAAGATTAACAAACGTTGTCTGGGAGCCTAATATGTACTTGCTGATATACAAAGCAGATACTTGACTTGTAATTTCCAGATCCAGCAATTGATCCCGGTTAGACTGACTTTTTCTGTTTCCGAAACGGAGAATTCACACCCATCATTCCTAAACTACAAAACAGGAGAACTCATGGACCACTGAAACCTATCAAGATGAAGTTCTTCATTATTCTGCAATTTCTTGAAAACTATCGTTGCAATAACAAACTTCACTTATACGTAACTCCAATCAGGTGTTGATAGGCAATGCATTCATTGTCGGAAGAATCCGGAGAGAATAGTTTTCAAGTGACGGATCGTATGAACATCACAGATTACGAATGCACTCAAAATCACTTTTCCTCGTATGCTTTGTATCTTACCCTTTGATTATTCATTTTGTTACAGCTACCGGATTTATCGATTTTAACGGTTTCCTGATCTGCTACGGTAAGAGCCTTCAGGAAGAACAAGACGAACGTGATTTGCGAGACGCATTCCGTGTGCTCGATAAGAATAAGCGAGGAGAAATCGATGTTGAAGATCTGAGGTTTGTTCACACATTTAGTTGGCTTTGCCATGAAATCGATCTATATGATGCTTGCATTGCAAATAATCCTATTTTGAATGTTATTCACGATAAAGGTGAAATACACACTACATGACATGAATATGTTGACTTATTTGCTCTGTTCAGTGCTCGGTCCGTAGTGATCAACTCACTCCCTGCTTAAGGATACGCTAGTAAAATATGAAACACATGACTTTCTTAGTGCAAATATGTTCACTCACCAACCAGTCGTTTTACTTACTTTCCATCCAAAGAACTTAAGCGATACTTCCTGTTTTAACTAAGGAAATCGAACATTCCATGTGTGCCCAACTGATCGGCAGGGGTTATTTGCGAATGAGTTCAGTTGGTATGGAAACTGATACCAATTGGAACCCTGGTGGCCAATAACTGTGATGCCTGGATCTGGTAAACTGACCGAGTTAAACGGTAATAGGTTATATCACAATACACCTTTGAGTAGCTATCGTAATAAGCATGAAGAATTACAACGTTTGACGGTGTAGTTGCAGTATTTTTCAAATGAAGAAGTGTGTAGACACTGAGGGATCGATTCATGTAGAAATCATAGAACAATTAGCCCTGTACTCTTTTAAATTAAATTCAGCCCGCGCTAAATAAGACATTATTATCAGTAGTAGTAGTAGTAGTAGTAGTAGTAGTAGCAATTAGTAATGTAGCACTCACTTCAAACAACGATAATTGGCAAATACTAAATCCCTTTCTCGAAAAAATAGGTGTTTCGCTATCATACCTCGACTTCCTATCACGCTTATATTTGATCAACTGACTTCCCTTATATCTTATTTCTGAACCTATATAGATGGATCCTGAAAGAATTGGGTGATGACCTCACCGAGGAAGAAATTGATGACATGATTCGTGACACGGATACCGACGGTTCAGGTTTCGTTGATTTCGATGGTATGTGCAATCATATATACTGCCTGTTCCTATGATCTTCATTCAATTCGATCGTGCTGTGCAATATTTCAATCAATCGTATTTTACTTTATTGCTCTATTTTCTAAAAATGTGTTACTATCGGTCAAGAGTAAACAAAAAAAATGCATGAAACGGTTAGCATGTTAAACAAAAATTAATTTTACTTAACAAGTGAAAAAAAACTGCTTCGCATAAATGCTAATTATTCGCTCAAGATTGCATCACTCACTCCGGTCTTCACTTTCTTCCACTCTCCAGAATTCTACAAACTGATGACCTCGGAGTAGATGCCCTACTACTGACGTCGTCCGTCTACCCGCTCCAACATCACCCCACCCCCACCCCCCTACCGCTCACCACCACCACCACCACCATCAAACA